GCTGTATATTTTTCAGTGACTTTCAACAACAATGCTAGTTACTCTAGATTTTTCACCTTCCTGGAATAAAAGAATCAGCCTCAAACTGAAAACCTTTTCTTCCATCTCTAATAGATATAGCTAGCTAGATAGATAGATAGATACAGATAAAGATATGTAGAGATATATACACACACAAACATATGTACATTTTAAATTGTGAATCTGATGTCAATGTATCATGGGAAATAATGAATGAAATCTGTTATTTTTTTTTGTTTCTGAGTCCGAGATGTATCCCAAATTGCAGAGGCTGGCTCAGAGGCCACTCTGAATTTATTTTTCTCAAAAGATTATAAAATCAACAGAATTAGTAATCAGAAAGTCATAAAATAATTGTGCTTTATACTGATGACTCCCCTCCTTTACTGTCCCACTCTTATCAGTATGCAAGCCATAATTACCTTATTTTTCCCCCTCGTAAATAACACCTAACAACTTGAGAAACATGGTTCACATTACTCATTCTTAGGACTGCACCTCCTGTAGTTGATACTCTGGGCACATGATCAGAAAGACGTTTGCTTACCAAATTCCTTCATCTTTGCTACTTCTCTAGTATGGCTATCAATCACTCAACAAAAATATTGTATAATTAAAGCACTGTGTTTGCTGAACTGAAAAGAGATCCCAACAGCAGCAAAGTTTCTATCACAGATTTGGTTTTTCCTCATCTATTCTGCCTCTGTTGTTACTTTTTAATCATCACTCCCACCAGGCATTGTCTGACTATTCAGCCAGCAGCTAAATGAATTGAGAATTCTATTAGGTTTACATCAGCAGTGGTCACTGCAGACATTACCAACTCATTAGAAAAGGAAATTCAAAAGAAACAAATAAGAGCTTCTTTTTTTTCTCTCACTTTCAAAAGATTTCAGATACCACTATGTAACAATGATTATTCACAGTTCAAAAGGTAGAGATGCAAGCTACAGCTTCACAGGAGATAGACTCGTTATTTTTGTTTATACTGTATTTATAAATGTTCAATAAAATATTGTCCTCTAATGTCATTTTTCATTTTAGACCACAGACATGTGTATTACATGCCTACAATTGTTTAAATGAGCCTATATCAGCTAAACAATATTTATTTTGAAAAAACCCAAATTACCATGGACTGTGATATATTATACTTAATTCCAGTTAAAACAGGGTTGGAAAATTCACATAATCGCACACTGCAAACAAAATCTCAGCTTGACAACAAGTTACCTTCTGTGTGACTAAAACTATCACTTAATATTACTGTAACCCTATTTCTATTGAATATTCAGTACCTTATTCTTCTATTCAAAATTTACCTACTCCAACATGATCTAAAATATATGTCATTCTATTTTCTCCTGATAGTTCTCTTTCTGCCTAGCCACCCACTATACTTTCAGGCACTTTTAGAATAAAGATAATCATACAAAATCTTGTGCCTAGAATTATCATAAAGATGGATTTTAAATAAGAACAGTGATTGTTTAAGAATTTCCCAGTCAGAAGAGAATTCTAATGAAGTATTTTTGTATACACTTTTACATTATATCAAGCTTTGTTATGTTATTCCAAAATAAAAAAAAATGCCCATTACTAGCTAAATGTATTTAATATTATAACAATAAGACTAAAATAACTTATCTTGACAGCTGTATCTATTAACTATAATCACTTTACTTAATATGCATCCAGTCTGAATTTTATTGCTTTCCTTGACCTTAATTATTAGACAAAATAATTCATGGTCTGTAATAGAACATTGGTTTTTATATCTATTCTTTCCAGCACTTACCCTTGGAGTTACAAACAATCCAATTACATTGTTTAATTTATTTAATAATATAAAAGTAAGATATTATTAACTATTCTCACCCCATTGTGCCAAAAGTAGCTGGACTTATTTATCCTTTCTATTTTTTTGTACCCACTAACCACCCTCACCTCTCCCCAAAGCTCTACTATCATTCCTAGTCTCTGGTAGCCATCCTCTTACTCTCCATGTCCATTAGTTCCATTGTTTTGATTTTTAGATTCAACAAATAAGTGAGAACATGTGATGTTTGTCTTTCTGTGCCTGTCTTTTCACTTAACGTAATGATCTCCATTTCCATCCATGTTTTTGCAAATGACTGGATCTCATTAACTGAGGTGAGATGGTATCTTATTGTAATCTGATTTGAATTTTGATGATGATCAGTGATGTTGGCACCTTTTCATATACCTGTTTGCAGTTTGTGTGTTTTCTTTGAGAAATTTGTATTCAAATATTTTGCCCATTTTTTATCAAATATTAATTTTTTTTGATAGAGTTGTTTGAGCTCCTTAAATATTCTGGTTATTAATTCCTTGTCAAAAGAGTAGTTTGCAAATATTTTCTCCCATTCTCTGTGTTGTCTTTTTACTTTTTTGACTGTATTCTTTGCTGTGCAGAAGCTTTGTAACTTGATGTGATCCCATTTGTCCATTTTTGCTTTGGTTGCCTGTGCTCGTGGGGCATTGGTCAAGAAAACTGCCCAGACCACCAACATGCGGGAGATTTTTCCTTTTTTTTAAATAGTGGTTTCATACTTTGAGGTCTTATATTTAATTATTTAATCCATTTTGATTTGATTTTTGTACATGGGGAGAGATGGGGGTCTAGTTTCATTCTTTTGCCTATGGATATACAATTTTCCCAGCACGAATTATGAAAGAGACTGTCTTTTCCCCAGTGTATGTTCTTGACACTTTCACTGAAAATGAGTTCACTGTAGGTGTGTGGATTTGTTTCTGGATTCTCCATTCAGTTCCATTGGTCTATGGGTCTGCTTTTATGACAGTAAAATGATTTTTTGGTTACTATAGCTCTTCAGTATAATTTGAAGTCAGGTAATGCAACTCCTCCAGTTCTACATTTTTTTGCTTAAGACACCTTTGGCTATTCTGGGTCTTTTGTGGTTTCTCATAAATTTTAGGATTTTTTTTCTATTTCTGTGAACAAAGTCATTGGTATTAAATAGGGATTGCACTAAATCTGTAGACTGCTTTAGGTGGTATGGATACATTAAAGATATTGATTCTTCCAAACCACAAACATGGCATATCTTTCCATTTTTTGTGTCCTCTTCAATTTCGTTCACCATTGTTTTATAGTTTTCATTGTAGATATCTTTACATATTTTTGGTCATTAATTCCTAGGTATTTTATTTTATTTGTAGCTATTTTAAGTGGGATTATATTCTTGATTGATTTTTCAGATTGTTTGCTGTTGGTATATAGAAATGCTACCAATTATTTTGCATCTTTCAATTTTACTAAGTTTGTTTATAAATTTTACTAAACAAATTTGTTTTACTGAACAAATTTGTTTAGTAAAATTGTTTCTCATTTTTTTTGGTGGAGTGTTTAGGTTTTTCTGTATGTAAGATCATAGGATCCACAAACAAGGATAATTTAACTTCTTCCTTTCTATCCAACTGGAATGCCATTCATTTCTTTCCCTTGTTTAATTTCTCTAGATAGAATTTTCATACTAGTTTGAATAACAGTGGTGAAAGTGGTCAACTTGCCATGTTATGGATTTTAGAGGAAAGGCTTTCAGTTTCTTGTCAATTTGGTTTAGCTTTTCAAAAAAAACAACTTTTTGTTTCATCAATCTTTTGTTTCAAAGACATTTTCTTGATCTTTTTTCACTGATTTTATTGTTCATTTTAATTTTATTTCTGTTCTAATCTTTCTTTCCGTTCTCTAATTTTGGGTTTGTTTTGATCTTGCCTTTCTGTTCTTTAAGATCCATTTTTTTAATTTAAATGTTTTCCTCTTTTTTGATGTGGGCACTTAGTAGCTATAAACTTCTCTCTGAGTGCTGCTTTTGGTGTATCCCATAGGTTTGGTATGTTGTGTTTTGATCATCATCTGTTTGGGGAAATTTTCCAATTTTCTTCTTAATTTCTTAATTGACCCACTGGTCATTCTGGAGCATATTGTTTAATTTATGCATATTTGTAAAATTCCTCTTTTTATTAATTTTTAGTTTTATTTCATTGGGGTCAGAGAAGTTATCCAGATGCTTGAAAGGTCCTGTGTATTATTATCTAAGATTTTTCTGTTTTAGGTAGTACCTGAAACCCCATAATGCTGTGCTTTGTGCAGACTCGTAAAGATACCACCTTGATGGTCTTGGACAAGACATGGGAGAATTTTCTGGATTACCAGACAGAGATTCTTGCTCTCTTCTTTACTTTCTCTGAAACAGAGTGTTTCTGCTTGGAGTCACCTAAAGCTGAGGGTGGAGGGTGACAAGCACCCCTGTGACAAGAACCCCTGTAACCACCACTATGACTGCAATGGGTCGACCTGAAGCCAGCACAATACTGGGTCTAATAACTCAATAAACAACAGGAGAAATAGGTACATGCCAATAAACAAGAAGAAAAATAGATACATCTGTGCTATCCTCCCAAGTCCACCAGATCCAATCTCTACTTCGTCTTTTATTAATTGCGAAATGGCAAGCTTTATTATAGCTTTTACAAGCTATAAAAATGAATATCTTTTAAAAAGATCTATACCAGTATTTTAACAAGTCCTACTGGAACCACTCCCTAGCTACTACCTATGTTCGCTCAAAGTCCTGAGGTTCTACAATCAGTAGGTGGCAAAGCCAGCCAGGCCTGTGTCTTTCCCTTCAGGGAGGTGATGTGCCACAGGCCCTGAGTGGGTCCAGAAGTGCCATTCAGGAGTCAGAAACTAAAGTCAAAAATGTTAAAAGTCTACCTGATATTCCACTGTGTTGCCACTGAGATGGAATTCAAACCCCAAGACACAGTCCTTCCCACTCTTCCCTCCACTTTCCAAAGGCAGACAAGCCTCACTCTGCAGCCACCACCACCCATGGCCATGAGGAGTACTGCCAGCCTACCACCAGTGTTCTCTTAAGGCCCAAGTTCTCTTTAGTAAGCTTCTGGTGAATGCTGCATGGCTTGGGACTCACCTTTCAGGGCAGTGGGTTCCCCTCTGACCCAAGGCAGGTCCAGATGTGCTGTCCAAGTGTCAAGTCTGGAATTGCGAACCCCAAGAGCCTGCTTGGTGCTCTACCCACCTATACCAGTATTGGTACCTAAGGTGCAAGAAAAAGTCCCGTTTACTTTTTTTTCTCTGCTTTACTAAAGCAGAAGGAGTTTTGCACCATAGCTACCAAATTTGGTAATGTTCTGAGTCTTGCATGAAGCCAGAAGTTCCAGAGACTCACCCAAGGACCACGATGTAGTAGCTGGGTTTCACTGTTGGTTATTCAGGGCCCAAGGGCTCTTCGGTTAGCAGGTGATGAATGTTGAAAAAACTGGGTCTTTTCTTCAAGGCAGCAGGTTCCCTTCTGGTTCAGGGTTATTCTAGAGATGTTGTCTGGGAGTTAAGGCCTAGAATGACAGCTTAATGACTGACTAGTGCCCTATACTGCTGTGGCTGAAATGGTATCCAACCCGCAAGACAAGTTCTCCCCACTCTTCCTTCTCCTTTCCTCAAGTGGAAGGAAGGAGACTCTTGGCTGCTGTAGCTGATATTTCAGTATGCTGCATGCCCCCAGCCAGTCCACTGTCTCTGGGCCTAGTTTGCCCCTAGGACTCACCTACAAATTGCAGTGCTTATGGCTTAGTCTTCCTTTCAAGTTTCCTTAGATATCCAGAACACTCTGGTACTAGGTGGTGAGGTTTGTGGGCATTCCAGTTTAGACAACTGGGATCAGCAATTCCCCTCTGGCTAGAGCTGGTTTAAATCCTCCCTCCATGGGCGTCAGCTGAGTTTGGCCTGGTTTTTCTTTCTGGCCTACAGGAACAACACAAAGGTGAGAAAGAATCAACACAAAAAATGCTGAAAAGTCAAACAGCCAGAGTTCCTCTTTTCCTCCAAGTGACTGCAACACCTCTCCATCAAGGGCTCAGAAATGAGCTGAGACTGAGATGGTTAAAATGACAGAAGTAGACTTCAGAATGGGGGTAATAATGAACTTCACTGAACTAGAGGGGCATGTTATAACCCAATGCAAAGAAGCTAAGAATCATGAAAAAACAATATAGGAGCTGACAGCCAAAGTAGCCAGTTAAGAGAGGAGCATAACCAACCTGCTCAAGCTAAAAAACATATCACAAAAATTTCACAATGCAATCACAAGCATTAAGAGCAGAATAGAACAAGCAGAGGAAAGAATCCCAGAGCTTGAAGGCTATCTTTCTGAAATAAGACAGGCAGACAGTAAAAGAAAAAAACATGAATGAAAAGGAATGAGCAAAACCGCTGATAAATACAGAATTGCATAAAGAGATCGAATCTATGATTGATTGGGGCACCTAAAAGAGATGGGAGAATGGAACCAACTTGGAAAATATACTTCACAATGTCACCCTAGAAAAAATTCCCCAGCCCTGCAAGACAGATTAACATTCAAATTGAGAAAATGCAGAGAACTCCAGTAAGATAATCCATGAAAAGATTATCCACAAAGCACGTAATCATCAGATTCTCCAAAGTAGAAAAAAAAAAAAATGTTAAGGGCAGCCAGAGAAAAAGGCCAGGTTACCTACAAAGGGAAGCCCATCAGACTAACAGTGGACCTCTCAGTGGAAACTCTACAAGCTCGAAGAGACTGGGTGTGAATATTTAACATTCTTAAAGAAAAAATATTTCCAACTCAGAATTTCATATACAGTTAAACTAAGCTTCATAAGCAAAAGAAAAATAAGATCCTTTTCAGACAAGCAAATGCTGAGGGAATGCACATGACCTGCCCTGCAAGAGCTCCTGAAGAAAGCACTAAATATGAAAAGGAAAAGGCATTACCAGGCATTACAAAACACGCTAAGGCACACAGACCAATGACACTATGAAGCAATCACATAAACAAGTCTGCAAAATAATCAGTTAGCATCATGATGACAAGATCAAATCCACACATAACAATACTAACCTTAAATGTAATTGGGCCAAATGCCCCAATTAAAAGAAACAGAGTGTCAAGATACATAAAGAATCAAGATCCATTTGCATGCTGTCTTCAAGAGACCCATCTCACATGCAAAGACACACATAAGCTCAAAATAAACAGATGGAGGAAAATTTACCAAGCAAATTGAAAACAGAAAAAAGTAGGGGTTACAATACTAGTTTCTGACAAAATAGACTTGAAACTAGCAAAGATAAAGAAAATACAAAGAAGGGCATTAAATAATGGTCAGGGTTCAATTCAACAAGAAGAGTGGACTATTCTAAATATACATGCACACAATATAGAAGCACTCAGATTCATAAAGCAAGTTCTTAGAGACTTTCAAAGAGAATAAAACTCCCACAGAATAATAGTGGGGGGGTTTAACATTCCACTGACAATATTAGACAGATAATTGAGACAGAAAATTAACAAAGACATTCAGGACTTGAACTCAGCTCTGGATGATAGCTATATCTATCAGTGGGCCTGATAGATATATATAGAACTTTCCACCCCAAAACAACAGCAGATGCATCCTTCTCATGGCCACATGGCACTTACTCTAAAATTAATCACATAATTGGAAGTAAAACATTCCTCAGCAAATGTAAAATAACTGAAATCATAACAAACAGTCTTTCAGACCACAGCATAACCAAATTAGAACTCAAGATTGAGAAATTAATTCAAAACCGCACCACTATATAGAAACTGAAAAACCTACTGCTGAATGACTCTTGAGCAAATAATGAAATTAAGGCAGAAATTAAAAAGTTATTTGAAACTAATGAGAACAAAGATACAATGGATTAGCATTTCTGGGATGCAGCTAACGCAGTGTTGAGAAGGAAATTTATAGCACTAAACGCCCACATCAAAAAGCTAGAAAGAGCTCAAGTTAATCTAACATCACAACTAAAAGAACAAGAGAATCAAGAGCATACAAGCTCCAAAGCTAGCAGAAGCCAAGAAATAACCAAGCTCAGAGTTGAAGTCAAAGAGATATAGACAGAAAAATCCCCTCAAAACATCAGTGAATCCTGGATCTGGTTTTCTGAAATAATTATTCAACTAGATAGATAGATAGATAGATAGATAGATAGATAGATAGATAGACTAATGAAAAAGAAAAGAGAGAAGATTCGAATAAACACAGTTAGAAATAAGAGGGATATCATCACTGACCCCACAGAAATACAAACAATCATCAGAGAATACTACAAACACTTCTATGCAAATAAACTAGGAAACAATAAATGGATAAATACCTGGACACATACACACTTCCAAGTCTGAACCAGGAAGAAATTGAATCCTTGAATAGAGGAATAACAAGTTCTGATATTGAGGCAGTAATAAATAGACTTCCAAACAAAAAAAAAAAAATTAAAAAGGCCCAGGACCAGACAGATTCACAGCTGAATTCTACCAGAGGTACAAAGAAGAGCTGGTACCATTTCTACTGAAACAATTCCAAAAATCCTCCCTAACTCGTTCTGTGAGGCCGGCACCAGCCTGATACCAAAACCTGGCAGAGATATCAAAAAAAAAAAAAAAAAAAAAAAAGGAAAACGAAAAAGAAAAAAAAGAAAAGAAAACATCAGGCCAATGTCCCTGATAAACATCGATGTAAAAATCATCAACAAAATACTGGCAAACTGGATCCAGCAGCACATCAAAAACCTTAGCTACTACAATCAAGTAGGCTTCAGCCCCACCATGCAAGATTGATGTAACATCCAAAAGTCAGTAAGTATGATCGTGTCCTTTGCAGGGACAAGGACGGAACTGGAGGTCATTATTCTCAGGAAACTAATGCAGGAACAGAAAACCAAATATCACATGTTCTCACTGGTAAGTGGTAGCTGAATGATGAGAATACATGGATACAAGGGGAACGATACACACTGGGGCCTGTCAGATGGTGAAGTGGGGAGGAGGGAGAGCATCAGGAAGAATAGCTAATGGATTCTAGGCTTAATACTTAGGTGGTGAAATGATCTATTTAGCAAACCACCATGGCACATGTTTACCTATGTAACAAATCTGCTCATCCTACATATGTACCCCTGAATTTAAAATAAAATAAAAATAAAAATAAATAAATAAACTGATTTTTATTCATTTAAAGATGATTACATATAAATTAAAAATTGGCTTTTATTACCTTATAAAATTATTTTCAATATATGTCTCAACTATAATTTTTAATAAATGATCATCAAGTACTCAAAAAAAAAAAAAAGAAAGAAAAGCACTGAATTCAATGGCTCGCAGTTGTTGTGTTCTCTCTCGCCCAGCACCCAGGGATGTTCTGCACACCATGCAGCTGCTGCCAGCGGTTGGCGAACGCTTGGCATTGGTGATTCAGGACTATATTTATATGTATACTATATACAGTATCTCTTCAGTGCTTCCTTCAGCAAATTTTAAACTAGGTACTATGGGTGCTTATCTGATTTTTATTTTTTATGAAGCTATTTTCGTCTGTGTAGATAGTTATTAACTTAGTGTCCTTTGTTGGGGGTTGCAGGGATGATGTACCTCCACCAATGGAACATTCTTATTTAGCTTACAGCAGGTTGCTTTTTCTTTGGTTTTAGAGTTATACCTACCAAATATACAACTTAAAAATATAGATACTTTCTAAATATGTGATATCCTTTAAACCTTTTGATAAAAGCTGGTATTTCCTTCTAAAATATATTGCAGTTAATCTTTTAAATTAGATTTAGCCCTCAACACTGGTGATTTTTTAAAGTATCTTTCTCTATTATAGTGCTATTATAAAACTATCATGACTGATAACCCAGTAAACAAGAGAAGAAATAGATACATCTCCAACTATCCCCCAACCCCACTAGATCTGATCTCTTTACCTCTTGTTTTATTAATTTTGAAATGGTAAATCTTATGATAGCTTTTAAAGGCTAAAAGAAAAATAAGTATCTTTTTAAATGATTTAAATCAATATCTTAGCAAATGCACCAAAATATTTACATACAAGAAGATTATATTCTACTCTCTGTGGTAGTTACTCATAACTTGCCCTTGTAAAGTTTTAATCTCTCAAGACACTTTGAGACAGTTCCTAAAGAATTTCTTTCTAAGAGATGGGATGCAGAATGAATGAAGGTTCTGGAGTTTTATATTGGATAGACAGTAGCTTAAGGCTTAGTTTTATTTTATCACTAGCTTTGTAAAAAATTACTTAATCTCTCTGTTTATCTCAGTTGTGAATTTATAAAATGAAGTACATGACAGTAGCATTTACCTCCAGATTGTGGTAAAAATTATGAGAGTTTGAAGAATGTCAAGTACTGAACAAATTATTTGGCACATAGTAACACTTCAATAATACAAGCTATTTTATGTTAAAAAAAACAACCTTTTGAAAAATTAACTTGTACCCTGAAAAGACAATACTAATATGTCAACATTGAAGAAAATTAAAACTGTGTGTGGAGGTTTAGAAAAGAATTCCAAACAAAGAAATCCAAAATTGTTTTTTAAAAAAAGACTTATTCTTTAAAATTCAAATGTACTGGACTCTCAA